ACATGTTGATACCAAAAGGCACAGTCTTGGAGTAAGCATTTCCATAGAGAAAAAGTAAGAAATATAAGCAATATGAAGTCATTATGATGTGGGCATGTGCTGACACGTATTCCTATCTTTATCCACATCTTACAATAGAACATTCAATATACCATTTGGTTGCTGCTATTGTGACATTCAGCATCCCTTTTTCCTTGTCACATCAGCGTAGACCTCAGCCAATAATGGAACCACTCTGATAGACACACCTGAGTCCATGTTAAATGTGATGATTATGGCAGGTGACCGAACTGAGTGGAGAAATGAAGCCTTTGTGACATGCCAAGTAAAAGGCTTCTTGATATGCAGAAGATATGTGATGGAAAGAGACACTCCAAGATTGCAGAAGCATAGGTACTAACTTGACCATGCCATTCAAAATATCTTCCATCACGATGGGACAAGATGTCTCAACGATGCTCTGGTTGAACTTTACATCCTTTTGGTGAAAAGGCAATTTGTTTAACATGTTAAATGCATTTGTAAATGTCCACAAGGACATCAGTGATTTCATCTAAGTGGAGTCAACTTGCTCTCAGATGCTCTGGTATTTCACAATAAAGATCAACCACAACGATGACTGCTGAATGATACAAATGTCACCAGTTAGCCACTGACCGATGATATCCGCTACTCACACTGTTAGCTACCTCAGTATGTGATTGTGATTCCATTGAATAAAGTGAGTTATACATAGGATATTTGTTGACAATGTCTTTTGAGTTGTGATGCAGAATAACTATAGAGTTTCCAGTAGTGTTTGAGGCAAAATGTTAGACTCATGCTTGGTCCACTTAGCCTTGATTTGGTATAGTCATTCCTTGCACTGTCCTTTTATATGTGATGCCATTGCTATTCCAGATTTCATTCTCTTCCTTGATCTTGTTTCCTCCTAAGAGACTTCATTTGCAAGTCCCAGCTGAGACTAATGTGTATTTTTTTATTAATTCTTGTGATGTTCAAACCTTGGTCTAAGTTTTCCAGCCACACATATCACCATCTGCATCAGGCAGCATAACCATCTCACTTTTCAAATATTAAAATCTCACAAGGGTATTATGCTCGAGTGATTCAAACTGTTCGACCTTATTCATTAGTGACACTGGCAAAAGTCTTTCAACTCATCCAGAGTCATTTGATGGACACTACACAGTCGTCCACAAAACCGCCCAAGTGATGGTGCTATTCACCAACCAAAACTATCTTCGTGCAAATTGATCAATGCAGTTGGACATTGTTTCCTGTAGCTGAGTTCTAGTCACTTCAAAGGCATCTTGAATCAGAGGATGCTTACTTGTGATATTCAATTTTCGCTCTCATACTATGATCACCTTTCAATATTGTGGTGAAAGCACAACTGCTCAGCTGAATTGGAACCATTCCCTTCCAAAGACAGCACAGGTGAACCTTTCTATGCAGAAATTTGATGAACACAAATGCAGTATATGTAACTGCAGACACACTCACCTTAGTTATGTCATTGGCACAATTGCTTGACTACCTCATGTTGCCTCCCAGTCATCCATTACCTAACGTACATGATGTGAAATTGTGTAATTTGGATATGCAAACAACACATTGTTTGATTTATATATTAATGGGACATCATTACAAAAATGTCTTGAGTGAACCATGAATAACAGTGACGATGATTTGAACTTTGTTGATTGACCTATTGACACACCTACCATGCGAGGGATAAGCTCAGTTTTTCATCTCCTCTATCCCTATTGGTGTGCTGAAGGACTGTAGGCCACGTATCTCACAGTGGATGTGAAGCTTTTGATGGCTGATGACAAAGTACATCTGAATGTGTCTTGATGATAGTGGCAATAGTGTTGATTTTATTTAGAAGGTTAGCATGCTGAGGGAATTCTTCTCATGTAATTTCAGGTGTGATACCTTAGTCTCTTGTTATAGTTCATTGGCAACATGCTCTAGAACAGAAATGCACAATTGAGTTAGTTTCATGAGCAAAGGAATGGAAGTGAGCTTTGCAAAAAGTGAAAGAAGTGTAGAGGTAGATTGTCTGTCTCTCAATTATGTTTAAGATAATGAACACAAAACACTGATAATAATGAGATGACTTATCAGTTCAGTTGAAACAAAATATGGATATTCAGAGACATTATTAGAACCATCATGAGGTGGACAACATAAACTATTGATTACACCAGAAACCATGCTATAAAAATCAACATTGTTGGTCATTGTGAGACATCCAAAAATTCTGAATGTGAAAGACTTGTAAATACCATAAATGGCTATCCAAACCTTATTCCAAAAATTTCAACAATGCAATCAAACTTTGATGAGAATTGAGGGGCATGAGAACATCATGTGATGTGAAGTTCATAAATTTTCCTTGTGCGAAAATCATTTTTTTCTTTCATACCATCACCTTCATTTGTGGTGTCTCCCCTCAATAGGCATTCATCGTCAATGACATCGGCCACTACTCCACCCTCCAACGTTTACCTCTAACCTTATGATCTTTTTTATCTTCAGGTGATGTATTGTGATTTCTCGCCTCAATGGGCATTCATTGTCAATGATGGTGGTCACTGCTTGGTCCTTGTCTGTCTCACACTCTTTGTCCTTTCTGTTGCACCTTTGTGCGGGTATTGTGGTGTTCTTGCCTCTATGGGTGTTCACCATCGATGATGGTGACCACTGCTAGTACTCTGACCTTTCATGCTTTTTGTCCTATCTGTTGCACCTCGGTTCACGATCGTGGTTTTCTAGCTGACATGCACAAAAAACATGGAAAATATCTGGCTTATAATACCTTTCACAATAGCCAATGGTTCTACTCAGAATTTTCTATGCAGTGTCCGTATTTTATTTGAGTATTTTTGGGCTCAAATTGGCTCAGTACTACTTAACTGTTTAAAATAATACTTATCCTTCTGAAAGATTGCCTTCAAAATTTGTAATTTATCAATTAGTCAGCAGTTTCTCACACCTCCTAGAATTTTCTCACGCATTTTCACATATTCTAGGGTATGTTTTGTGTCATGTTCTGACATATTCACATACACGGGTTTTTCATTTTTACGGTACTGAGAGGAAAGTTTGAAAGACTTCAAACTTTATTACATAATCAGTCTCATGTGACTTGGTGGCACATTATGACACCCATGCAAAGCTTCATCATAACAAATATGCAAGACCAACATTATGGTATTTAACAAGTTAACATCAGACTGTGAGAATCACAACAAAGTTTGAACACAGCTTGAGAGTACAATTCAGGCAGTGCAGAGGCAGTGTACATAGCTTTCTGGCACAGGTTAGCATAGCCACAGAGCACAGCCACTAATGTTGATTTTAAATATTCTGGAATATTCTATTAGACAACACTGGAGTTTGGTGGAATAGTCTGGAAAATTCTATGACATTCTTTGAAACTTTAATAGTAGATTAGTAATCAGTAGCATAGCCACTAGTAGAGTAGTATATAAGGGGCCCATTTTTGCCTATAATAAAGAGAGCTCCAAGCCAAGTTACAGAGAGCCCATTTCCATATTATCTAAGTGTGAGTGTGAATAAGTGAGTGGAGAATAGGAAGTGTTCATAAAGCTCTTTTTAAATTCTCACCTCTAAGATACTAAGTGACACACTGAGTGAAATATTAGGTTATTTCATTCCACTTTTGACACTGTTTCCCACGACATACAGAAGCATATTTGAGGCCACCATTAAGCCATACTTGTTACACTAGCTGGTACACGGTTATCAGTCATCTAGTGCAGATATATTCCAGTTCTTTTTTAGACACAGGAAATCTATTCTGTGGGGTGAATATACATATTTTCATCAGCAAGGGAAGACAAATAAGACTAACAGTCAGTCATTAATATTAAGAACTTGGCCCACTTAAGACTACATCAAGAGAGTGTACTCTGTTCTGTCCTGCATCACACTCATCATATAGTGCCTGAGCAGCAGAGAGTAGGTTTCGAAGCCACATATTAGTTCAGGCTGATCCATGTTAGAGACCTCTAATTGGTTTGTGAAGATAGGGAGTATCATTATAGCTCTAAGAATCATCGCATAGTCATACATCTGTATTCGTTGAAGTCATAGCACTGCATCATGCCAGTTATTGATTCTGTTCCCCCTTTAGTCACTGTGTACTTCCTTTGAGAACTCAACACACTTTTCCCACGAACAACCACATTATCAACCATTGGTATTTGTCTGAACCGTTGACCATGGTAGGATACTGAAAATCGGTGATTCTACTGTTTTCACATCCTAGTAAGACATCGCCTCCATGGGTGTTCACCATCGATGACAGTGACCACTGCTAGTACTTGTTACAGTCATCTGCAACATCTACAAGAGCCCCTGCTCTGCTAGACTCCCGACGTGGTGGCACACCGCTAGAACTTAGAACAATAGCAGTCTGGACTGCTGTGACTCCGCCCCTGGCCTAGAAAGCCTTGTACCTGTTCCATGGAGGCTGTATGCCTCATGGACACCTAGACTGGCGTATGTTGCCTCATGTATCTTATCATGCCTCATGGTTGACCTCATGTACTGTTATCTCTGATAGCATAGATCCTCAGATACAGACTGAGCTTGAACCCTTGTATACAGACATATATAAGTAGACAGATTATTGTATTAGTTCTTTACTTTAATCTACTAGGTAGAACCCTAGAACTAGTCTAATCAACTAGGTTGTATCCCAGAACTAGGTTCACCTTGAACCAGCTTGTCTAAACAACTCGCTCCTTTGAACCTTTGACCGCACTTCTAAGTCGCTTCCTGCACCTTAGCTGTATTCTCATTAGACCTTCATCTCGACGAGGCGCCGCCCTTACCGACATAGATGGAGAGACCTGCTAGCATTCCGCTAGCCTGTAAGATACCCTCGACACCCTTCGCATGACAATCCATTCGGACCAGTGTTGAGAAAACTTATCCTAGTCATAACAGTACTCTGACCTTTCATGCTTTTCATCCTATCTGTTGCACCTCAGTTTGTGATTGTGGTTTTCTTGCCTCCATGGGCGTTCACCATCGATGATGGTGACCACTGCTTTGTACTCGGCTCGCTCATGTTGTTCATTGTATCTGTTGCTCATTGGTCTGCAGATCATGGTTTTCTCGCCTCAATGGGCATATTCTATTGATGACAGTAGCCATCACTCTTTGCTCAGATGTCTCACTCATATCGTCTGATCTCCCACTTGTTAATGTTTATATATATATATTGACATACTTGACCATATGCTCTTTATCAAAAGAAAATCACGGTTAGACAGATCAAAAAAAGAGATACACTCCTTTGAAGCTATTGATATTGTGCAGGAGAGATGCTAACATACTAATGCCACCACTTGATGTCCAGTATCTTGTGAAGCACTCAGTACCAGTGAAAATGCAGTCTGTCGAGGTGGAATGAAGGTAGTCCTGAAAGATCCAATTCAGTGACCACATTAGACCTCATTCAACCAACTGTACTACAATCAATATTGCATTGGAATGACAATGTTGAACCCATGGTGAGTTATTTAGAGTACATAGGAAAATAGTGTGAGTGTCTGTGTGAGCTTATATGGATCATATCATGCATGAATCTTTTATCTGGCTAGTAATGCACTGGGTAAAGATGTGTCCCTCTGGGCATGTGGCGTCTGACACAAGAGACAAGATTCTATTGCTATGTTTCGGATGTTTACCAAGGAAGAGATTCAGATATAATAACCCAGCACCATCAGTCTTGCGCTGTGCAAAGAAGGGATGAGTGCAAAACATATGCAGTCAGTCCTTAATAGCAAGATGTTGATTTTACAGTGAGCCAAAAATCTAAGAACCAGCCTCATTATCATCAAGGGTGTTCATGTGTTTTTAATGGGACACACCTTCATATTATCTTGTAGACACACGAGTTTTCAATTGAACATGTAAGTGACAATTGATGGACAGCATTGGGTCACCTCCAACATGGCTGCATATTCCAGAGTAGAGAAGGAATGGCATGAAGTGATATATACCTTTTTCTCTGATTCTATTGATGACAATTATGATCACAATGATGAAAAAAGAATGGTTGATCATCCTGGATTTCACCTTTCTGTGTGTAATGTCATTCCTAGTTGGCTGACTCGCTCATGTATTTCATGCACTGTTTGTATATGTGAATAATTATTGATTACATATCAGAGGGATGGTGAGGAAGATGACATTGATCATTATCCTTTAGTCTCTTTCATAGTGGATTCAATGTAGTAGTGCAGAAGGGCATAAACATTCTGGACAATATGTCTTGTCAATTTTACCTCACAGTGTGGTGCTAGGCTTTGCTTATGAAATCATCTTTTTTGACCTCTGTTCTCTCATTCTCCTACCTGCCACTTGAACTATCTATTTACAATTAGACAATTGACCTGCCCATCTCATGATACCACCCTTCAATGCCTGAGAGTATCAAAGAGCATCATGCTCATGATTTTCAATCTCTATCAAAACATCTAAAATGGATTAGCCATGATTTATCAATAGGACTATCCACACAAAATGTACACACTCATTTGCTTGTTTCAATGAACATATAAAGATCATTGTTTTTAGAATTCGACTGATGATGATGCAATGCAGCCAAGATCACCCAGCTCACATTCAATTGCCACTCAGTACACATGTGAACTGGTGGAGATGCTGGACCACATCCAAGATCAAGTAGTGTTCCTTCAAGATGAACTATGTGGATGTAACAAAGAACACGAACGTACATGTATACACTATGAAGAGGAGCTCAAAAGGTATCGTGATTGTATTGATTCCTTAGAGGAACAGGCGATATACCAAAAGACTGTTATGGATGTGACAGATGAAGAGGTTGATATATTGGAGGGAGAAATGGAGATGATGAGGAGGAAGCTTTGGGAGGTCGTTGAGCTTGTACAAGCAGACATCATTGAGAGGAACATATCCATCAAAGTATTGAAAATTTGTCTACTCAATATCGTCTATCACACATATGTTTAAAATGATCTTGAGGTTCAATTTAAATTCACTTTACTCTCCTTCAAACAGTACTATTCATTCATCCACCAGGCAATCATTCACCATGATAGGTGCATGTCACATGTCAATCATATTTCAGATTTTTGATCCATAGAAGTACATGCATATTGTACAGTCAGCTAGATGCTATATGTATGTTGTCTTTACCCCATGCATCAGACACGCTGAAACTTTTCTATGAGTATAATATAAATAATATTATATCTTCTTCTGTGGAAGAAAATCTCACGTACATTTTAGAATCACGTCAATGTTATATAATCCATATTTAATTTGCATTCCATGTACCACATACTTACATTCCGCCACCATCAACAGTGAACAGTCAACACAGACTTAAAAAACAGTTGACCCAATATTGGCACCATGGGCTGTCTGATCATACACAAGAAATGATGGCAGTTTGCCAGCGCCACAAATAGCATTGACTGATAATTGGCAGGTACATCAAAATATGCAAATGCTGCCAGTTTGCAAATGCTAATATATTCCTTTCAGTGTATCTACAATCTGTCAATGCAGGTACTGAAAGTCAAAATAGTGACACCAATTCTATTAACAGGCTAGTATGTGAATGAGCCCATGTAATGAAGTTTTCACAACTGATCCTGATATCTCTTTTTAGCAGCAATACCTAGCACTGCATCATGTTCAAATTTGTACCTGACAAATACAAATACTTTGCAAACGAGTACTATGAGTGAAAATACTGGTATGTGCATTACATAGTCTCATATTGCCCTCATCACTCCTCATTGTACTTCACCAAAAGCCTGTACCCAATTGTTGGGTGCAAGTCACTGGATATTCGACATGTCTATACAATGACTGTGCAATCTGAAAATTGGCTGACAGTCCATTTTCAGGTTCACTCTAACTCAGTCATATTGCAAAGAATATAAATTTGGTGCATCATGCATCTGGCATTATCCTTCAACTAGATCCCCCACTGAACCCATATGCGCATCTTACCACAATATAGGACAACCTAGAGTTGTCTTCCGAAGAAGAGACATATACTGCTCATGATGCCTGTTCAGCCTTGGCCATTTATGAAACATTTTTGACCATTACTACCATACCACTGGTCCTGTTACATCATTTATTCCTACCAGTTGAACAAATTCAGCTCGTCAATCATTTGTTCTCCCTTACTGATTTACATAGCTAAACATATCTCCATCAGCCAATACAATTTGATTAAGTCAATGTATCGAAAACTTGAGTTATGATTATTATTACATCAATCACTGTGCTAGGCTATCTTGTACAAGCCACACTCATAAGCAGCCATCAAGAGACATAACTTTATACTCTAGGGCCACAACTGTAGTTGTAGATATTCTGTTGTTGGAGACACTTGCTCATATGTGCAGTAAATAACATTCTAGATATGAAGAACACAATGTTCCACAAAATGATTGTTAGAACATGCACATTAGCTATTACACTGTGTGGCAAAGCTCATTACACCACAAGATACATTGGCTCCTTGTGTCGCAGAGGTCCTGTAAATCTGTTTACCATTAAACGATGCTGTACCAGGGTAACCACTCTTCAATGACTCATTATTGGACAAGGTTCGCCCACCCTGTCATTCAGAATATTAAGATGGGCTACTACTGTTATACACCAGGCTACAGTTTGTATGTACTCCTCAGAATGGACAATTATTGTCTTGGAGTCCACAGGTACTCACATCGAACCAACAATGTGAAGGGTATGATTCACCAAAATATTAATACATGAGTTGGATCATTCAATACATCTCCAAGGTTGACTGCAAACTGACATCACTTCTATACCCTGATACATACTCTGAAGGCAAGCATGTCCTATTTTGTGCTCGTACTTTTATCTTATATTACTACACAGGATGGCAATATGAGCCGTAGAGGACAGTAATACCTTGGTTGACAAGACATGCATAATTGTAATTGGATTGCTCGCCTAATTGATATTACCGCTGATGTGGTAGAATCATTATACCAAGATTCTGGGCTAGCAGCCTGGATCTATGGGTATTAGTGTCAGCTGGGCAGACAGTAATTTCATATCTTACCATTCACTCCCCTAACTCATACAAAGCTTGTCATGAGTCATTAGCAATTAGATTTTGTGAAATCTTGCAAGATCAAGAAACACTTCTCAGTAGGACAGCAGAAGAAACCTGTTACTATACTGCCTGTATACTCAGTTGAATACAAGGCCCTTTACTGGCTGCTACATCAAACACATCAATGATATCTTGGACAACAAAATCATCAACTTGTAAGTTTGTTGAACACATAGATTGGAATACTTCTTTGTCCTCATAGACATAACTTAGTCAATGAAGATATAGAGGAAGCCATACAAGCAGTTCATAACAATATGCTACATTCTCTGTCTTGAAGGTCATTCAGATCTTGAATATATCATAGTGTGTATGTCTCTGGGTTGCAGAGACAGGATTTGAGTGACTGGGAAGAACATATCTTAAGTTTGCAAGTCCCTTACTTCCCTGTACAATTTCCAGCATCTTACTAATTTCTTGTAACCTTAGAACCATGGGTAGCTCAGAATGAAGCTAAACAAAGACAACAAAGTCTCGAGAACCTCAATCATGTTCTTGAGCTAGTCATGAAGGAAATTGATTGCCTATAAAAAGGTACTGTTCTTGCTCCATCTTGCACAATTTCCCTATTATAATGAGGCCTTTATGTATAGATGTATAAATTTCAGTGCCCTTGCAAGGTTCATGAAGCTATGGTATCTGAGCATGAGGATGATCCTGTCACCCAAAGGTTAGTCTGGATGGCATGGCATAGCCACAAGACCCACACCTTCAATCACTTCTTTATTTCTCTCATCGACATGAATTATTCAGGGACATATTATATTGTGAGTAATCTGACAAACAAAATGTCTTATTCCAATGGGTGATTGACCAGAATTGTCCTAACCTTGAGAAATTAGGCACTCAAACTGCTAAATTTACATATGGTGATGTCCAACACTGGATATTTGACACACTTATATAAGGACTGTGGGATCTAAAAATTGGATGACATTCAATTTGCAGGTTTACTTCAACTCGGTCATATTGCAATGGATATAAATTTGACACATCATATATATGTCAACCTCGCTGACCACTTACCTGGCATTATACTTCAACAAGTTCGCAAAAACAAATCAATTGTTGTATGGAGATTGTGGAGTTCTAATACATTTGTATGCCAAATGGCAGCCGAGCTAACATGTACAATAATAAATATTTACATGCTCCACGATTAAATGGACAGAATTGTGAAATGGTGCTCCTGACATGTGCGCATGACAAACTGCAAATTGCATATTATGAAACTGCCCCTGTGGATATTTGTGTGTGAGAAAATACAATAGAGGGATTTATGAACAGCCACAGTGGACATTTATTACTCTTCTGCACTATTAAAATGATCTACCCATTTTCTGTGCCAAAACAAATTCCCCATCACACATTCATGTTTCCAGTACCACAATTGAGGTTGAGAGACCCAGGATGCCAATCCTGCATCACTGAAAATCAACCATGCTATTCTTATTCTCCTCAATCCACATGTGAACAATGCAGCAATCAGTATTCCCTGTTGCCAGGTAAGCCTTCTCTGTATCTTGACATCTTGTATACCAAATATTTTTGTCATTATCAATGTTAGCACATCCCCCAAGGCATCATAGCATAATGTATGTGATTTGCCTGATGCATCCATGCTGCAATTACTGCAGGAACATGAAAAAGGTTTGCTAAGGACTAACTGGCGAAGCGTGTACAGCATGTGAACAGCTGTGCAGCAATTGTAAGTTCTAATCTACTTATTGTCCTTGGGGGTACTTATGTATTCACACATCAGGTCTCAAAGTGTTCGAAGAACAGGACATCACCGACACATCTGTCACCGAGTTAGAATCTTTAGACTTGTCGGATGATGTGATCTTCTTGGAGCACAAACCAGCCAATTGGATCAACAGGTCTCCAGGGAATTTGAAAAAGAGAAGGCAAGAGGAAGACTCAGATGATGAAGTGATTATCTTGGATGAAAAGCCAGCCAACTGGATCAATAGGCGGAAACAGTGACACCAAGACTGAAGCAGACATAATAGACCCCAAGCAGCATCATCTCTACATGCAGGAGATGCACTGAATTGTAGTATAGACATGTAAATAGATGAATCAATGTACATTACTGTATATTCCCAGCAAAAGATATATATACAATAGTACATATTTATCGAAATGATTGCAAACCCGTCCAAATCAGTATTGCACTTTCTGAGATTTGTATGCATCATTTCTATTTTTGCAGTTTCCTTACCATCATAGAGTTAGTATTTTCTTGCACTGTCCATCCAAAGACCTTTTGCATAGAAATACAGATATCCACAGTGTTGTATAGTCAGTATCTCTGTGTAGTCTCACTGTTACATTATAATAGTCCTCAATGTCTTCTCAGCTGCCAAAGTCATCAAAGTCATAATATGTCTCAAAAGTATGTCCTCAATGTCCTCTATGTCACCAATGTTGTCAAAGTCATCATATGTCTCAAAAGTAGGTCCTCAATGTGCTTAATGTCACCAAAGTCTTTGAAGTCATGATAGTTCTTACAATGCCCTTAAAGTCATACTAAGTAGTAATAGTTGTCAGAGTCTCTCAAGTCACCAAAGTCATCAAAGTTATTAAACTGGCTCAAAAGTCCTGGTAGTTGTGATAATTCCCAATGTATCCTAAACTGCCAAAGTTGTTGGAGTCGAAATAATCCTCAAAATGTCCTTTATGTCATAGTAAGTTATCAAAGTCCAACTACATCCTCAAAGTCCTAATACTCCACATATACATAGCCCAGATATGTCGTTAAAGTCTGTTAAATTAGTAAAGTCATCCAAGTCACCCCCAGTGTCCTTTAAGATACTAGCAAGTACTCAAAGTACTCAAAGGCATACTAGTTGGCCTGAAATTCCAATTATGAAAAGTCGTAGTAGGTCCAGAAATCCTTCAAGTCCAACTATGTCTCAAAAGTTACTATGTTAACTGATCACAGAACTTCCAAATCTATATTCTGATACTTTGGAATCTCAGAGGAGGAGTCACAGAAGTTGGACAAGTAATAACCAAATTACCATTTATGGAATATTGGTTTGTTTTCAACATCTTCCCACAACCCTTTCGTTTAGCTGAACCCTCAGTATGCCAGTAATGTGTGCTGATGAAAGTGTCATTGGAAAAGCATTGCTATTGTATGACAGCCATACACCTAAAGATACTTTGTATATACAACTAACCAACCCCTCAATATATATATGAACCAAGTTATTTCTCCAGAGTCCCAATGACCACATCTGTAGTTTTTACAAGCCACCTTTGAAGTTGAAGCAAACAGTACAGCTTGCAAATGTCATACCCGATGTCTGTCACCCGATTCTGGGCTTCAACAAATCCACCCAGAATGTGTCTGTTGGCGTGGAGAATATGAATATCTGAGGGAACACGTGATTCATTCAGCCTGAAGACTGTGTTCTCTACTATAGCATGGATGTGTTCATTTGCTGCAATGGCATTAGTTGAGGGTGATCATTAGCACGACAGATTACTCACACATGTCATTCCTGATGGCCTTTATCCAGCAATTCAGTCTGAATATATCTTGTCTCAGTTTATTGTCTTTATCTATGGCTGTGAGCAGCGAACCTATTAAAGTCCAACAGGAAATTATTTATCTTTGAGAGATAGCTCACAGCTCTCATCACAAAATTTGCCCACCACACCACAAGGGCATTTTCTCGGTTTGCATTGTGAGATGACTCAGCAGGTAATGCCAAAGCTTGAGCCTTTTCCATTACCAAGGGCAATGAGAAATGGACCCATCAGGTGGGCATTGTGTGTGATGTTGAAATGGAGTATTCGGATTTGAAAGAGGACAGATTAAATAGGGAACACCAAAAAGGTTGAGTGGAGTCATGAAACTAGTGGATCTTATGGAGCTAGTAGATTTCATGTTCTGCTTAGTCACACATGGCCTAGGTCAACAATGAGTTTTCATATTGGCCTCCACAACCACTGCGCTTCCATTATTATGTAATGTATTGAGGTCCAGGAACAATAAGTACATGTCCATGGTTACCTTATTAGGCTGTACTGTGGCTGCCATTGCTGTTTCCTATATATTCATTCACACTTGGCCTTCGACTTTTCCCTCTGAATTTTATACCCACCACCGATATCCAGTATTTACCTTTACCTCTTTCCTTCATTGATATGTCATCTGCTGAGAATGCAAACAAGCCTTTAAACCTTGCAGCTAAGAGGATTTTGAAACTGGTCAAATGGTCACAAAAAATGCGTGAAGACACTCCAGCTTTGAAAAAGATGGCACATGAGATCACCATGACTTTGGTAAGTTGCTTGCCGGTTTTTTACTCATCTTTTGAAATTTGATGACTGGTTTTGTCTTTAGGCAACCGCATTTGCCCAACACGGCAATGCTGCTACTTTGCTGGTGCCCATACTCTTGTCCTGCGCTACTGAAATCCAGGACAAGAGCACACCTGATGGCAGGCTGAGAGCATTGCCTGATTTGTCTGTCATTTCAGATGACGACCAATGGATTCAAAACCATCCTTTGTATGGCAAGACCCTTGTGTACTGGCACCAAGATTCAGACAATGCACCACCGGCAGGACCTGCCATCCCCACCCCAGTGCTGTATGTCTCGCTGCCACCACCACCAACAGTTGTTGCTCTGACTCCAATGTCTTTCCCCCTTAAGCACAACCTATTTGTGCCCGGAAATGTGAAGAAATGAAAGGCTGCATCATCTGCATCGGAGCCAGAATTGGAGGTCAAGGACGTTCAACCCATGCTGGTATTGCCAAAACCGGGACCTGTGAGTAAGAGTAAGACCAGGCTAGAGGCAGGAAGGGCGCTGTTACAGTAACATGGCACGAGTCCCCCACCAGCAGACCAGCCCTCTGCCACCGCACGGCTATAGACAACAGCCCTCTGCTAAACGCACGGCTATAGATGATACCGGAGCATCACTGCCTCTATGATGATAGATGACGACAGATGACGACAGATGATGACGATGATGACGATAGATGATAATAGATGATAAGCGGCAACTGCCGGCTTAGATAAGCGGTCTGGACCGCACGTGACGACACATGACGACATAGGTCTAGAAGACCTATTTATGTTATCAAGATAGAAGGCAAGCCTCGCACTGCCTCGAGGATGATAGAAGGCAAGCCTCGTGCTGCCGCATGTACTGATAGAAGGATACCTCATGGATCCTATCTACGATAGAAGGGCACCGCATGGACCCTATCTACGATAGAAGCCCACCTCATGGACACTATCTCTGACTCATGTAGATAAGCAGATTAGAACCCAGCTTTAGGCTGAGCTTAGATACGAAGAGTAGCCTTATATAAGGTCGAAGATTAACAGTAGACGTTCCTTACTTCAATCTTACTAGGTTTACCCTTGAACTCCTTGTCCCGCTAAAGCTACCTGCTCGACATCGACTCGTACCTTCAGTGACGCCTCTCACTGTCTGTAAACCGCTATCATCTCGGCGTAACCCCTTGTTAAACCACCACGAGCTACGTTCGAGTACGCAACCTTTGCTTGTCTGTAAAGGCCGACGACTCTCAGCACTCGGTACCACTGTCGTGGTTGCCGCTGTTTAGATCATCCTAGTCGCACACGACCGTTTGTCGTAACAGGCGCCACCTAGACCTCACCCCCTAAAGAAAGCGAAGTCAGCTAAGTTTGTGGTGGATGATGATGATGATGAGCTGATGAGCTGATGAGCTGATGAATGATGTCATCATTGTCAAAGTAAGTGTTTCTCCCCTTTGTCTATTGATTTACTAATGACTGTTTAGAAGAAAATTGGCCATAGTGTACAACATGAACCACCAATCAAGCAAGAAACATCCCTTACCAACAAGAAATGTATTGGTTCAGTATATCAGACCCAAATACTCACCTAATATCCAATTCTTTTCAGTAGTCGATGTGTATAACTACAAGTTATATGACTGGAAAATATGTATGTGCAGATAATCCAACCCAGGAATCTGCAGGCACAGATAAAATGGCTTAACTTGATACTCCTAGTCCTCTGAAATATACATCAGATGCACATTAGACAGTATACATGAGTGTCAATGTCAGAGAAAGTGGAACAATGTAAATGTTCTTTTAAATGATAAAAGAATATCTTGTATTTTTGGGTGGAGATTGGCTCTCCTTTTATACATGAGAGGGGTACCAAGAAATAGAATTGAATAGAGAAATAACATCAGAATTTCATCATAATTGACCTCATTGTGGAGCAATATAAAGCATTTTTGGAGCAAAAATGGAGCTAAGTAGAGGTAGGTGGAGCCAAAAATTCTAGCATCCAATGACATCACTATGAAATCATGTGTGACATCAGAGAAACCAACAGAATAGGCCGGAACTATCTGTGGAGCCATATGACATTATACCCTATAGGTATATTTTATGAGGCATCTGGGATGTCAATAAATCATATAGGTAAAGACATGAAAGAAAAACACAGAGAAATTAAGGTAGGAATAATCATAAAGCAAAACAAAGCAAAATATGGGCTTTTTTGATAGGGTTTTTGTAGGCTTCTAACTTTTCTCCTTGGTTATTTGTAGTCAAAGTAAATAAGCCAAAAGTTAGGTAATAACCTGAGCTTTGATATGCCCATCACTTGGACTGATTTCTCTATATTTGACTTTTCTTTAAAACATCATACTTTTGTGTGATTGGAGCACACAGAGCATTCTGTTGCACTTGAGTCTTTACTCAAAGTACATTTTGTGTAGTCTGAGGACAAGGCTAACAGACTAGATATGTGGAATAATGTATCATGTATGTGTTCTGCATGATTCCCCTATTATATAGGACATCACATCTGCTTCCTTCATACTATACTTGAAGGAAGTGCTTCACAGCAATACTCTCAGGTCAACATACCACACTCGCACTCAGTAGAATGTATTAGTGCTCTAGCTTTCTCGCTAGCCAGCTACTATTTCTTCTTTACAGCAGTACTCATGAAAGTGTGAGCTTAAGATTGGGTAGGTAACATTTCCTCCCTCGAACCATCCCATAGGGAATATGACAGAATTCCAAATGCCCTGTCTAATCATGTTGTAAATCACTCCATTACTAATGGTGTCCTAGGTCCTGGATTGTAGTACATATATCTTTTCGACAATCATAGGAAGCCTTATCTATCACTGTCTAATGTATTAGTACTGGAACATAAATACTTCCCCATTAAGCTGCTGGGTGGTGGACAGAAAGACTCTATACTTATTGGAAGAATTGGCATTTTTCGACTACTGGCAAGATATGGTTCCTCTTTCAGAACTAGATAGGCATTTTGAACTTAGGTCTCATGATGTCTATGGGGCTGGTATGGCTTATGTTGAAGGACATGAGCCTAGTTTTATTTACATTGAACCTATACAGAGCTACAACATCAACCTTGCTGACCCTGATGGGTACGTCACCTTTATCTTAAACTCACTTGATATTTTATAATCTTCATGCACAGCTCCATGCATATTGAAACCAAGAGAGCTAGATATTATCTAGGAATTTCATCTAAGCAATATAGGAGTCACTTCAGAAAGATATTCCTACTGTACCACATTATTCAGACAATTGTGTCTTCTGCAAAAAATCAGCCAGGACAGAAATACAAGAATTTCTTGACTGAATTTTTGAAGATGAACATTGTCAGGGATACCCCTAAAGAGGGAGATATTTGTGATTACATAAGTTTCATTTACTTCATTGTGTTTCTGTGAAGCTTAACTTAATCTATTTGTAAGTTTCATAACTAAGAGATGTGGTAGAAACCCTAGAGGGCAATCTGTATGCTACAAATATCATTCAATTCCTTCTGTACACCTCTTAGCCTTTGATGATACAGAAAACTATAAAGCTATCTTGTTGTCAATGTATGTGCCAAAAAACTGGAGCCAACACATATATAGATTTCATGCTAATGGATTGACACATGACAACTTATAGACTAAGGTAGCTACTAAAAGTCTGTACTAGTGGCGCATTATTCAGCTGTTTTATTCTTCCTCTCAAAATTGAGTACACTCACACATAGAAAAATTTTCTCTGCCACATAGCTTGACCCTGGGACTGTCATTGCAGAAATTTTTAGAAAAAGTAGCCTCAAACTTTAATATGGACCAGGGTGCCTGCCTCCATCAAATATTGATTATACAATAAGACTGAGAGATAAATTTCAGATGAGTGTGTCAAAACCAAATTGGCTCTACTTATAGTGAAACTATAGCAATTTCCTAGTAAATAAGTGAAATTTTGCAATAAAAGCGCTGTGCTGGATAGTAGGTATTAAAGTAAAGAAAAATCAAAAGGCTCTACCTCTACAGCATACACTTGTCACACAGTCATCATATGAGCCTCAAATAAGCACTCATAAAGTACAAATGATTCCGCCCACTGTAGTGTCTATGCCATCAAATGAATACAAGATAGGAAAAGGTAAGAGGATAAATCAGAAAAACAAAGTCTATCATATATAGATGGGCAATATCTACAAATCTTAGAAATAAAACTTCAAAATCACTAATATTTAGTCTAATCTCCTACTTTCTGCTGCTAGAGGGAGTTCAATGGTGCAGGTGTTAAAATAGTTATCTCATACTGCTTTGACTATGCTTAGAAGATGAGCACCCTCATAAGGACAGTTCTCAACTTCACCACAGAAGAATGACAGGAGGCTGAAGCAGTTGAAGATAAAGATAATGATGGTATTGGGATTAAGAATAATGAGAGTGACTGAAGGATAAATAGGTCTTAGTTATAGCAGAGCCCACAAAGCACACAATAGTTGTAGTACAGAAACTAGCCACAGATAAGAAAGCTGTTGCAGAGCTATAATCCTGCTTTGATCTAGGTGATCATAATAAGCACTGCAAAGTCATGTCTACTAGACCAGCTGCAATATTGATGAGCTCATTTTACCTGGCAAAGTGAAATCAATTAATATCTTCATTGATGTTCAAGAGGTGCAAAAACAAGTCCTGGACATTAAACACCTCAATTTGCTTCAATGACTCCTTCAACAAAACAGCAATGTGCTTCAATAGATCTGCAAGGAGCCAGTGAAGGCAGGGATGGAAGCTGGTCTATTCTTCTAATATGTTGAAATCAATGATCTGATACTGTGTATCACCAAATTGAAAGCTTCTCTTTGTAAAACTCATCTGTCAAGAGAGTATATACAGCAAGAATCTCCTACACAACAGTCATGATTGCTTATATAATCTATATTGGGTTTGCAAATGTCAATTCTGTGAAAATTTTACCATAAACCTTGATGAGGCAGGAAAGTGTCATGTCATGTCAAATATACTAATCTACACATCAGTCTTATACTCAAGGCAATCTGCTTGTTTGTGTTGATATATATGAAGACCTAGAATATTATAACAAACTGGGTATATAAAGGCTAGGTGACAAGTAATGAGCTGTTGGACAGGCCAGTTGTGGCAGAGATAGAGGACTTGGAGATCGAGATGTTAGAAGCTTTTTTTGGATGACGAAAATCACATGCTACCAGTGGTGGTGCGATCTGTATATTGAGTGAGAGGACCGAGGTAAGGCCTGCATCTGAGACTCAGATTAAATCTAGCAAGAGTAGTCAGAATAATAAAGTCAGTAGATAAATGAAGTGTACCACATCATGCATGCTAGCAATATGGTAAGAACACTATTAGTACCATTTTT